TTCCTGTTTCCTTTTTTGTTCTAGTTGCCACTGCTGTAATATTTCTTCTTGTTTCTTTTCTTTTTCCTCCAACAACTGCTGTAATCTCTCTCCTTGTTTATTTTGTTGTTCAAGCTGCCACTGTTGCAGGTTTTCTTGCAACTGCTGTTGTCTCTCTTCTTGTTTCTTTTCTTTTTCCTCTAACAACTGCTGTAATCTCTCTTCTTGTTTAATTTCTCGTTCTTCTTGTTTCTTTTCTTTTTCCTCCAACAACTGCTGTAATCTCTCTTCTTGTTTAATTTCTCGTTCTTCTTGTTTATTTTGTTGTTCGAGCTGCCACTGTTGCAGGTTTTCTTGCAGCTGCTGTTGTCTCTCTTCTTGTATCTTTTCTCGTTCTTCTTGTTTCTTTTGCTGCTCTTGTATTGCTGCCATCAAGTCTGCTAAGCTGTAGTTTGATTTTCCGCGTCTCGTTTCCATTTTTTTTTCGTCCCACTTCTGACACCAATTTGTTACGTCTCCGTTTGTTAATTGATTTTCCGTAACTTCGTTCCGACGAAACTTTAGCGACACAAGTCCTTACTTAATAAAACCGGTTTATTCTTTCTGAATATAACTTTACCGATACACTTATTTTCAACAGTCGCTCTTTTACAACCGTTTTAACAACGAACGTTAACTTCAACAATACTTCCTGACTGTAGTTCTATTACTCACTACCTACACACATTGTTTTCACCTTGTGAGCGTCTTATATATATACCAGACAAACATATATCTAGTAAATGCTAGGGCATTCACGAAGGAACAAGATAGTTCTTGAAACGTGGCTGACGCAACAATACTGTCAATTAGACAGAACCACGATCGTTTGAGGTTATCATTTTTTGACAAATTGGTGTTATTTCTGTGCAGATAGTTAACAATGTAGTCTTTGAAACCAGAGTTTTCACGACGTCTTCTCTTTTCTGCAGGCTGATGGTCTTGTACTGTTACACTGTTATCATCACCTGCAGTATTTGCAAAATCAGGCTTAACTTCATCCAGCAAAGTGGTAAATGTTTCATCGGTTCTCAACAAAGCAATGGATGCTCGCGAAGATGACATCAGCATCAAGGCCTGCACCAGATTGAAACTGACTGATTGTAGATGAACGTTTCAATCCGATTGCCTCCACCACTAATTCAGGTAAGAATGTGTTATTCTCATTTGTGGCAATGTCCGACAGAATAGTCAATATAGCTTTATGTGATCCAGTGATGACTTTCACAGTAGCTAGGTGGCTAGTCCACTGCTGTTCCAACAGTCGCAGAATCAACTTAACTTCAATCCAGCAAAGTAGTAAATGTTTCATCGGTTCTCAACAAAGCAATGGATGCTTGTGAAGATGATATCAGCATCAAGGCCTGCATAAGATTGGTAGTGACTGATTGTAGATGAATTTTGACAGGTGCTAGTATACTCAATGCTTTGTGGACAGCTACAGCATGGAACAGAAAGGGTTTCTTTTTGATCAGCTTCAAAAAATACTGCAGGTGATGATAACAGTGTAACAGTACAAGACCATCAGCCTGCAGAAAAAAGAAGACGTCGTGAAAACTCTGGTTTCAAAGACTATATTGTTGACCATCTGCACAGAGATAACACTAATTGGTCAGAAAATGATAACTTCAAACGATCGTGGTTCTGTCTAATTGACAGTATCCTGGTTGAGCTTGATGAACGTTTCTCGGAGACAAATTTGCGTCTTATTCGTGCCATGGTGTCACTAGATCCCGAATCAGAACATTTCTTTGACAAAGACCGAATGGGATTTCTCGCAGACTTGATCGGCCTTGAAATGTACAGCTTTGTTTTGGCTCAAATTGATGTTGCCAAAAATACATCAGTGACCACTGGAGGAAAAACGGCAAACATAACCTGGTGTCTGTTTTGCAACAGCTTTTACATTTGAAATCGAAGGGCTTTCCAGCCATTACAGAACTGTATGAGGCAGCATTAACAATTTGATCCTCAGCTGCAACATGTGAAAAAGTTTTTTCTGCTCTGACAAATGTGCTTACAGACCTCCGCCCAGTCGATGTCTCATGAAAGACTAGCGAACTTGATCCTCATCGGGTTTGAGAAGTGCATCCTTGATGATATATGTCAGAGTGTTGATGAGAAGCATAAGATATTGAGAGACTTCAATTCTATTCAGAATAGAAGATTACAGTTGTTTTAATAACAAAATTTGGACTTCGTTTATATTGCTTTGATTAAGTACAAGAGTCCATTCAACTTTTCCTGAGACTGACTCGTGCTTTCTGTTTTGATTAGCCTACCAGTTCATACCTAACTTAAGCTTTATTGTCGGATATCAAAGATTTTTTCATGAGTGGATTCGCTTATGAATTAATAAGGAACATCAATAAATGATAACGAAAACTGTAAATGATTACAATGTACTCGCGCCCTTTGAGTTTGTCATTGCACCCTCAATGTGTGCGTCCTGGCTACGACACTGTGTAGAAGTCATAGAAAAATCAAACCATGAAATAGGTAATTATGCTAATTGATGGATGCCACGATTAACATTTTAGGAGCTCTAAGAATATCTTAATGTAAGAACTACATTTATGACTGCTGCCTGATCATCTCCAGTTAGACAGTTGTCATCCTTATGACGGATAATCATTCATAAGAATGTGGGAAAGGCGACGTTGTTTTAGCCATATTATAAGTTTAAAGTTAAATGGTTTTAAAGTTAATTTTAATTGTCGGCTTGAAGACAAACTAAAAGAGAAAAGGGTGGGGAAAAATGTACTTGTGCAGGCGTGCTATACATTTTCTTCCTTCTTTTATCAATATAGGAATTTTCAAAAGTTTTCGTTTAGCCTGATTCTCTGCAGTGTTAGCATAAACATGTGGCCCAGAAAACCATTGGGTTGTTTCGTTCTAGTTACATTTGTTCCTTTGTTGTTCTCGTGTAAATTATACTTACTTAATGTGAATTTACACACTGTGAAAAGCAGGTCAAAGACAGCACTGTTTTTCACTGGCTGACTATTTGATGTTTAGAGGTTAGAGCATTAACTTTACTGTACGAGAATGACTAGTTATGTGAGTAGTGCTAGTCATTATGTTTTGCATGGAGTATTAGATTCGTAACAGTTCTGCTTGATTATCACAGGAAACAGTTCAATGGAAATACATCTTGCCATTTAGAGACCCAGTATGAAGCATGTTTGCGCTTTTATATATTAATAAAGAATGTAATTCACTTTACATCACGAGTCCAGTCCGTTTATTCTAGGTGTTTAAATTCAGTCGTTTAGCTAAATTGAGATTTACTCTATAAATATCATGCTTGGATCTTTCGGACATATTTAATACCCATGTGGAAAACAACTTCATCTGAAAACACCACAGAGCGATCGTGATAGAAGTCAGCTTCAGTTTAGTGGATGAAAAAGTTTCATTGGCAGTTGTGCCAAAACACTATCGTTAAGGGCTAAGTTTATCGAGAAATTTGAATCAATAGTTTTGGGAGCAAGCCACAGGTATTCATTAAGAGTGCTATGTTTCGAGCCCCACATAAAGCATAATCCAGCTCTATCAAGATTAACTGTATATTCGTTATTTGCACAACGAGTTACATGTATTCACATTTCGGGGTGGGTGAGGAAAAATTTATTCAGTTTTTGTTTTATAAGGAGGTATAATTTGGGGTATTAGTGTTTCACACACTTTATTTTTTTTGAAAACAACAACAAAAAACGTTAGGATTTAAAAATCATCAGCGATTCATTTAATTATGATATTTATGAGTAGAAAAACATTAATTCACCATATGGTTCTCAATTATCTTCTTTTTGTTTGTTGTTAAATGCAAAGCAACACAACGAAATGTCTGTGCTGTGCCCACCATGGGCAATGAAACCTAGTTTTTAACATTATAAGCTTTCGGACTTACTTACCTGCTAAGCCACTGAGGGACTTTTTATTTTTGAATTTATATAAAATTATGTGTTGCTTAGGTTTAATTACTCCAAAAATAAGAAACATGAGTTTTTATAATTTGATGAAAATGTGCGTTTTTTGTTGTCTTATTGTTAAGCACAAAGCTCGACAATGGGCTGGCTATCTGTGCTGTGCACATCGCGAGTATCGGAACTCGATTTTTAACGTTATAAGCTCTCAGGCTTGCCGCTGAGCCATCGGGGGGAGGGAGCGGTGCGTGACAAGTAACTATCACAACTAAACTAATAAAACAAAGGTTACATATATAGGACACACAACTAATTTCAGTAGAAACAACAAAATTTTTACATGAAAACATTGTAAATACTATATACCACGACGATATAAAATCGAAATACATGTTTTAAAAATAAAATGTATTAATAAACTTTTAATGAAACACGTGTGTTCACTCCTCGCCAGCTACGTTTTTAAAATCATACTCGAAGTATTTCAGACATCATCTAGTGACTACTATAAAAATAGTTTTTCATAACACGATTGTTTTTTTCTCTGTAACTCTTCAAAAGTGAATCATTGAAAGAAAATAAGAATTGAAAATGTCAGCGAAATGTGAAAATGGAAGAGATATTTTGATATCGGTGAGGTAGTGCGAAGTAAAACTTGAAGTTTTGGTTTATTTTTAAGATGTATATACATATAAGCTTATAGTAAACATGATACTGTCTTTTGTAATGTTATTTCTGTTTATAATTATTTTTCCTTTATTTTTTCTAAAAATAAATCCTAACAGTATTTAGTAACTTGAGTACACTGTACAGGCTACAGCCAATCCTAGTCCTAAGGCATACCACAATCTCAGTAATGTACTGAATTATATTAGTAATACTATAACATTAGTAAGTAAGTGCTGAGTTGGCTAATCAGTGTTAGGCTGCCTCTGCAGTAGGCACTTAAGCAATTATTGTGCTTTATACATTAAAACCTTATACTTATTCATAGGGGAAATTTGTCGTTTGTGTTGAAAACACTTTTTAAACAGTATAAATTATATTTATAACATTTTGCAACTGCATTGAGGTCCATATACTGATGATATACTATATATAGTGATATACAATGTAGTAGTACTATTACTACTGTGAGTACTGGTAGCAGGGGTAGTTCATTTAATAAATTATTTGTTGATTTATGTGATAATGAAATTTAAAATTGAGGGAGATGTAGTGTATGTGGTATTTTGGACAAACATAGGCTATGTATTTAAAATTAAATTAATTATAATGACATCAGGCCTAATATTAATAAAAATAGTGAATTTCAATGCTTTTGAATTTGACTTGTGTGTGAGAAAGGTGTTAATATTGAACTTAGAAGTAATGTGGTTTCACTATCTAATGCTGTAAAACACAGTGTGTATCTGTCTGTCTGTCTCTTGGTCATGCAATGATGTCATAGCAGCTTATTACATAATTTAAGTAATTTGGCTTCCTATCAGTTAGAAGAGAGTAGTCTGTGGTTGATCGAAAATTAAAAATATATTTGGACTAAAATGTAAAAAAATTGCAACTTTTTTGCTATTTGAAAACATTTCTTTGTTAAATCATCGAGTAACACCAGAAAGGAGGTAAATATACTTTAGTAGACATTTTATACATATTGAAAGCTTATCAACGTTTTTAAAAAGGTCTAATGTTATGTTGTACAATTATATTAGAAGATTATTTATTGATAGTATTAAGTGTGGTAAGGTTTAGCCATAACTGAACTAAAGCAAAAAACATACACAAGTTACAGTGTTAATTTATCGAATATAGGCCATACTTAACAAAAGCTTAACTAATGTTAAGACTAAGACAATTGGACATATATTTCAGTGTTTGTGATTACAATTCTTTTGTATTACTATAGAAATCCTGTATTTAAAGAAATGATGTTGTAATAAAGATACTAATTTGGCTGCAAATGTTTTGCAAGTCTCTGCTAATTTATAATAAAGAGTGAAACCATATTACTTTTAAGTTTATGGTAGAAGTATGGTTATTCCAATTCACCTGGTTACATTTTATTAGTAAGAGGTCTTTTTCCATACAATTTTACAAATGCACTTATGCTTCAGAGTAAAATTTATCTTTTGATTAAACATATTTATGTTCACATTATTTAACATAAGTTTTACAAATTTCAGAAATTAACTATTAAAAAAAAAAGTACTTAGCTAGGACTTTTTATAACTAAACACCTGAAACTTAAACAGAAATTCTTGAATAAAAATGACAATGTGATCAATATTACAAAGCACAAAAAAAAGTCAAAAGAATGATATCAAACACAAAAAATAAGATTAAGTCACAAACAATAATTGAGTATAAACTTGCATCACGTTTAATAATCAGCAAATGAATGCTATGTATTACTTAGTCAAACTGCACTTGCAAATCCCAATATATATCACATTCTTTGATTTTATTTATCAAATCACAAGATATCAAATGTATAACAAATTAACATTGTTTTACTTAATCATACATGGACTTAGTATCCATATGTCACTGCTAGGGGAACATCATGTCAGTTTCTTAATATAACAGTTACTCATTTAATAATTAATACACACTAGGAGGCAGGTGAGCAAGCATTTTTAAGGCAAATACAAATCTAGCTAAACTAAATGATAGAAGAAAAAAATGCATGAACTACAACCAAAACCATAGTGACAAATATATTTAAAATTGCTACTTTACAAAATATTGGCCTTGAATACTGCCAATGGTAGCTAATTAGATAAGTGAAATTACCCTATAAGGAAAATAAAAACTGTCTTACATGGAGTTTAACATGTATTTTACAAATCTTTAGTTTGTTCCTCTCATCCTATTATCTTCAGAATATAATGCAAAGAAATTATTTAGAAGAGCTACTTTTAACTTATACTGTTGGGTTGCTTCCCATTTATATTATATGTGTGACCCAAATATTTTACCAACTTGTGAATTGATTCAACTCATTCCTTAATGTCTCATCCTCAGTACAGCCTGCAATACTTAAGATTTTAATGTTGTCAAGAAAATTTCCTAATTTACTGTATTTTAGTTATTTCCATTTAAGCAAGCTTTGCATTTATGGTGTATCTTTCTGAACATCTTGGAAGTTGCAATCAAGCCCACAATTCTCAAACATATAACCTAACTCTGGTATCTGTCGTAGCGTGTAAATTCCACTCTACTATTCCTGAATTACCTCTAACCATACTGAAGATTTGTAGTCTTAATTTTCTCTTTCCAATTTACCCATCCAATAATTGTATATTTAACTAAAATTAAGCTATTTCACAGTTTATAATCTAATACTAACATTCCCTATTGACTAAGACTGATAGTAATTGTTTACTAATACCACAGATATTATGTACACTACATCTTATTACATGTACCTGTCAAGTAATAGATACAATAATTTCAATTCTTGAGATAAATAGATTTTTATTTAACTAAACTTTTATTATTTAATATGATTAGTATCCTGTAATCTAGTATTATGACTGAAAACAACATTAAGTTAAAACTGATGTAGCTTTAGACTTAAAAGTACCAACAAATAATGAAACATAACTCTAATCCTAAGTTACTTAACTAAAATAACTGCTCCAAACTTGTATAAATCAAAATTAAACTTCTCTAGAAAAAATATAATTTAAATATATAACTATTTCTAATTTCTTTTTCTCACAATTAAGAATATTACATTTCTTATTTTCAACTTTTATATCCGATTGTACAAATTACCAGATGTTTTGAAATTATCATAATCATAACAGGCCAAAGCTTAAGGTGTAGCCATTGCAGCATATATGATATTAAATGGAAACATACCAACTGCCATATGAAATCGATTTTCATAAAAAAGATTACAATTTATTTAGCAGTAATCAAATTTATTTCATTATGTTTTCTTTCAGCTTGCATATATTTACCATGTTATAATTTTTAGGTAGATGTGTGATTAATATTATGGATATGACTTCAGTGTAAAAATGTAATTTGTTTATACAATATAGCTGGTTTTTCATTCATAATGTAGTTTCATTTTATGTAAATGTGGTTATCTTAAAATTATTATTCTTTCAGATGGTGATCTAAAAATATTTCAGTTTTAGATTGGGAAAGTATCCACTCTTAACAGCAGTGGTGGAACTACACTATCAAGTGACAAATTTTCATCCATAGATTATGGAAACAAGGATTTTTTGTTGGGGAAGTGCTGTTAGTGGGGAGCTTGGATTAGGAGGAATTGAAGAAGATCATATAGTTAGTCCAAGAAGAGTTTCTAACTTTCCTGAAGAGAAAAGTGTACAAGACATTGCTTGTGGTAAACAACATACACTAGTCCTCCTACAAGATGGAACCCTCTTTAGTTGTGGGAATAATGACATGGGTCAGTTGGGGCATACAATGTCACGAAGCAGACTAAGTGAGTTTGCTAAAAATATAATTTAAGTATGTGTATTTTTGATTTATGTGTTATACAAAGAGCCATTGATAACTAAAAGATTTGAAGAAGAAAAGTATGTTTTATTTTTCATTTTTAAGGTAGT